TGTGTGTGTGTGTGTGTCTGTGCGTGTCTGTGTGTGTCTGTGTCTGTGTGTCTGTGTGTGTGTGTGTGTGTGTGTGTGTGTGTGTGTGTGTGTTCTTGCCTGTTGGTGTGCCTTCGATCTCAATTGCCCGCCCACCCGCCCTGCGCCGTCGCATGCACAGACTATGACGACATCTTTGCCACTGTCACGGATCTGCTTCAGCGTCGCGGTGGCCGCTTCATCACCGCATATCGCATCCGCACAGCCAGATCCTTCCAGGTCAGTCCGTGTCTGTCTGTCTCTGTGTTTGAGTGAGCGTGTGTGTGTGTGTGTGTGTGTGTGTGTGTGTGTGTGTGTGTGTGTGTGTGTGCTGCGGCCTGTCGTCGATGCCTTTACTGTGGACAGACGCACAAGAAGCTTCAATGTGTAACCAACCAACTCACAACGTTCACACACGCACACACACACACACACACACACACATACACGTGTATGCACGCTAGCACTCTGTGATCAAGTGGGGCCTGGACATGGTGCAAGTGCCACTGCCGCCAGCGCTGGACGACGCCGATGTGGCCAGCAGCACCCGCCTCCTCGCCTTCTCCCTCAAACACCACCACGAACAACAGCAGCCACCATCGCCGCCGCCACCACTGCCACCAACAGCACACAAGGCCAACGCAGGGTAACGAAATGAATCACATCCACACCCACGAGCGTGCGAGTTGTCGAGTGCAAAGACAGCGATGCAACACGGGATTGGACTCGCAGTTGCGCGTGCTCACGCCAACAACGTCAGCACCAGCAGTAACCTCAACACCAACACCCATGTTGACGGGACACCAACAGCAACAGTGTAACACCAACACCAACACCAATAGCAACGACCAACACCGAAACAGGGTCAGCCCGAGAGCGATGCGGTTGGTGGGATGGTGGCTGCGGGAACAGCTCGCTTCAGCACGCGGCTGGCAGTGTCGTTCTCCAAGGGCACCGCATCCTCCTCACCCTCCACATGGCCCTGATGTTGCGGGTGTTGCGGGTGTGTAGCGGTTGCCTCATTTCCGCTCTCGCCAAACGCGTCCAGCGCTGTCTGGCGCCTGCGGAACCGCTCAATGGCGGCAATCACGTGCGGCAGCACCTATGGGGTGGGGGAGTGGGCACACAGTGAGGGGAGAGGAAGGCGGGTTGGTACTGCTTCGGTTGCTTGTACTGGGTTTTGTGTGTATGTGTGTCTGTGTGTGTGTGTGTCTGTGTGTGTGTGTGTGTGTGTGCGCATGTGTGTGTGTGTGTACATCTGTGTGTGTGTGTGTGTGTGTGTGTGTGTGTCTGTGTGTGTGTGTGTCTGTGTGTGTGTGTGTGTGTGTGTACATCTGCGTGTGTGTGCAGCTCTGTGTGTGTGTGTGCGTGCTAACCTTCTCTTCTGCGTCAGCTGCCCACATCAGGTCAAGATGTTCATAGTTTGGTATGCGAATGTGCCTGGTGTGTCATATGCATGCATGCAGGGAGGGGAGAGGAGGGCGAGTTGAAGTGCCAGGACGTCACTGGTGAGCCTCAAAGCAAGAAACAAACAGACAGCACAGCACACCGAAACCCTAGACAAAGAGCAAGTCATACATGCAGAAATACACACAACATTCACACACAAGCAACACACAACACAAAACACACACACAACACACAACATACACACACAACATACACACACAACACACACAGACACACACACACACACAAACAACACAACACACAAACAAGCAAGCAGACATGCATGCGGGCTGACCCTGCTGCGGAGTGCTCTGGGAGATTTCGCTTCATCCAGAGGATGTCTGTGAGGCGATCAGCGCCGCCATACATCATCACCACGGGGCACGGCATCTGGTTCAGTGGATATTGCTGCAGTGGTGGCGGTGGTGGCGGGTGGTGGGTGATCAGGGGATTGGGGAGTTGGGAGTTGGGAGTTGGATGTAGTGAGGTGGCGCTGCAGTCGGAAAGCCCTGAAACAGCTGTGCACGCAATGCGTGATGTGTAGTGCGTGATGCGCGCATACACACACACACACACATTCGCACATACACGCACACAGACACACACACACACACATTCACACACACACACACACATTCGCACATACACGCACACACACACACACACATACACATACACCACCACGACGGACCTGCTGCTCGATGAGGCGGTACCCACTGCGGAATTCGCGGTTGTCGTCGTACTGCTGGAATGTGTCGCTCGCCACAATCTGGAACCAGTGCTGGGGAACGGGAACAGACAAGTGGGCGGCAATGGAAGGGGACGTGAAGAAGGAGGGGAGCAGGGTGAGGAAGGAGGACGCGAGCTAGTAGTGGATCCAGCTGGTCAAAGAGTACAGGGTAGAGGGTTTGTGGGGTTGGCACCGCGCACATGCAGGCACAAAAAGAGAGCTGGAGTAACGCCAGCAACGACCGAACAAACAAACATACACACACACACACACACAAACATACACACACACACACACACACACACACACACACACACACACACAAAGACACACACATGCAGACAAGGTTCCTTCTTTCCCTCCCCCTTTGCGCACCACGATGGTTTTGACGCTTGTGAGGGAGAAGAGGTGGGAGTAGAGCATGAGGCGGCGCCGCTGGTCGCCGAGCTGGTCCATCCGCCAGTCAAACAGCTGACGGCAACACGCATTGGCGGCAGTGGTGGTGGTGGTGGTGATTGTGAGCGCATATGGAAGGAGATGGGCGTGAGGTTGGTGATCGCAAAGCAAACGCACGCACGCATGCACCCACATACATACATGCATGCACGCACGCACACACACACACACATACACATACGCGTATGCGCGCACCATTTGACAGCCGCTCTCGATGAGACGTGCGTAAACGCGGCGGGTGAGGACGCTGCGCCAGAACATGACCCACGGCATCAAGGATCGCGTCCCTGCACACGCACATACACCCACACGCACATACACCCACGCGCACATACACCCACACGCACATACACCCACACGCACATACACCCACACGCACATACACCCACACGCACATACACCCGCGCGCATGGAGGGACGAAGGTGAGGCGATGGTGTAGGAGGAAAGAGAGGGGGGAATGAAATGAGTTCAGAGCCAAATCACACAATGTAACCAAACAACACTACACTCACACTCTCTCTCTCACGCATGCACACACAGGCACGCACACACACACACACACGCGCGCACGCGCACGCACAATTTGTCTTCACAAACGCAACGCACCAAAGACGAGGAAGATGGACTGGGGTGCAAGGTGCACGAGCGTCTGCAGGAATCCCTGGCGAAGACCAAGCGCCTTGGCTGCAGGTGCCAGCGCCACAAACACATCAATCTGAACGCCACGTCGCAAGAGTCGTTCACGCACGCGCATGAGTCGTTGTAAGCTGTGGGTGTTGCTCAAGATAAGCACAGTCTGATGCGCAAAGTGCGCGCGTGAACTGAGTATTAAGCGGACGCCTGTTTGTTGGGGGTGCCACATCACATGCACGTAGTGTCAATGCTCACCTTGTGTGCGAGTTGCTGGTTCAGGCTGAATGCTGCAAACCCAAGGGCCGTGCCCTGGGAGAACCCAACGTATGAAAGAGATGACGCACCCGTGCTTGCAAGCACGTGGTCGATGGAGGCTGGCAGGTCGTTTGCCGCCATTTCGTCGATGGAAAAGTCCCAAAACTGGCCACGATGTGACAAGGGCAACAAGAGGAGCGCAATGTGTTGGAGGATGGTGATGAATGCCACAAAACACACGCTAGCCATGATTTCAACACCACAGTGTCTGTGTGTTTGTATGTGTGCAGGTCAACAGAGAACAAACCAAGCGTATGCACACACACACACACACACGACACACACACACACACAAACAGCCACACACATACACACACATACGCACACAACATAGCACGCACGCAACTGGAAGCACGTGTTCAATGACTCACGGCCGGATCGTGCGGCTTGAAGGTCATGTGCTTGCAGCTGTACTTGTTTCCACGTGAGTTGCCCATCCACACGTCATACCCTTCCTCGAAGAGCAGATATGCAAAGCTGTCTCGGGTACAAAGCCTGCAAAGGTAAGCAAGGTGAAAATCGAGATGCACCACGACAACACATGAGTTGTTCGCACCAAAGATTGTCAGCCTACCAATGTGTTTGTGTGTGCGTGCGTGCGTGCGTGTGTGTGTGTGTGTGTGTGTGTGTTTGATTCTGCTGTACCATGCTTCGCTGCACTGCATCAGCCCGTGTTGGAGGAAGACGACGCCCTTCCTCGGTTGCATCTTGCGTATGCGCATGCAAGTGAGCAATAGTGAGCACAAATGAGCAATGATGAGCACAAGTGAGCTCAAGGAGCAATCCATCTAATTGGTCAACATACAAACAAAGGGCTGCCCAAACGAAATCGCATTCCACCCCCTCCTCTGCCGCCGTCCAACAAAAGTGAGCTGTACCTCAGGCTGGCGAAGGCGGTGCAGCGCAAGCTGGAAGCCGTCCTTTGTTAGCACGACATGCTGTTCCAAAAAGAAGCCAAAGTGCTGTGCCAGCTGGACGGCGGATAAGTTGTGCGTGTCCTCGCTTGGTGGGATGGTATCGCCCTGGAACACGTGGGCCTCCGAGAAGACGGAGACGCGCTTCACAAAGCTGACAATGTTCGAATCAATAAACGCAATCAACGGCGCCGGCAACACAAACAGCAGCAACCGCGTCACGGCCTCAACCACAACGATGACCAGCGCAAACGAGAGCTTGATCCAATCCGCCAGCGACAGCTGCCCCAGCCGTGTTGGATACAGCGCCATCACGCTGGGCAGTCGCGAAGAAAAGGAGGGAGCGTGTGTACGTGTGCGCGTGCGTGCGTGTGCGTGCGTGTCTGTATGTGAAAGGAATGGGAGAAGTACCAAGAAGCCGCGCTGTTTTGTGTTGTGTGGTGGAAAGGAGGGTGGGTGTTTGGTGGATTGGTGCATCCCGTTCCGCGATGAATGGCTGTTTGCGACAACATGAGAGTTTCACAAACAATTGTAGATAATTGGTTCAAGATATCATATACTCTTCCGAACCCACGCTGGTGTGGTGGTTGCACGAACGAACAGACGGGCAAACGGCTGCAGCAGGTGCACTGCCCCGTGTGTGACACACATCGCGCTCTGTCGCTCCCTCGCTCGCTGTGTTGGTGAGTCAAAGGGACGCTGTCACTGGCGTGGCTGATCTCCAGCAGCAAGACACATAGTGCTGGTGGTCGGTGGTAGTGGTGGTGTTGCTGTGTGTGTGTTTGAGAGGACACGAACGCCGCCAAGAAACAGGGGAAGATGGATGTGACGCTCGACAACGGAGACCCAGAGTATGCGGGTCTGCAAAAGGCCAAGGAGCTGGTCGACGGCTTCCAGGATGTCGATGACAAGTACCCGACCATCAGCCAGCTGAACATGGAAGGTGAAAACACCTGTGTGTGTGTGTGTGTGTGTCTGTGTCTGTGTCTGTGTCTGTGTGTGTGTGTGTGTATCTGTGTGTGTGAGTGGTTGCAGGTGGTAGTCGGAGCGTACCAGTGGGAGTATGCGTTGCGTTCACACGTGGATGAACGTAAAACAACCCTGACTCACGGTTCTTCTGGTGTTTTGTGGCCGCTTCGCTACCAAATTCACGCCTCAGGGGAAGACGCCGAGCTGTATGTCAACGAGACAGACGTTCCACCACAGCGGCACCAGTTTGGCCTGGACACGGAGATTGAGCAGCAGCTGCAACGTGCGTTGGTGGTGGCGTGCTCTTGTCGTACATGCGGACATGAAACCCTGCAATGCATGTGAGCACGCCTTGCTTTGCCCGTGGTCGCTTGGCCTGACTGTCGTCATGTTGCACGCTCACGGTTTTCTTGGTGCTCGTTGACACTTGCAGAGGTGCAAGTCCACAGCATGCAGGGCATCTTCAGTGATATTCAACGCGCGTGGATGACCGTCGACTCGCAGCTCTACATGTGGCACTACTCCGGGTGAGTTACTGCTGCCGCTGTTGTCTGTCTGTGCGTGTGCATGTGCGTCTGTGAGTGTGTGTGTATGTGTGTGTGTGCGTGTGTGTGTGTGTGAGTGTGTGGGAGTGTGTGTGTGTGCGTGTGTGGGAGTGTGTGTGTGTGCGTGTTTGTGTGTGGATGTGGATGTGCGCGCGTACGTTCCGGTTTCATAGCGCTTGAATATTTCCGGCAAGGATGTTATCTGCGACAAGTGCTTGCAATGCCGAACTCACCTATGCACGTACTGTTGCGTGAACCGCATTACAGTAAGGACTTTTGCTGCTACCAGGAGCTGGAGGAGGTCATCGTCGGCGTCGGCCTCGTCCGCCCAAAGCCAGGTCAGGCAATCGCGTTTGTCGGTGTGCGTGTGTGTGTGTGTGTGTCATGTGCAGTTGTGGGCAGCAACAAACATGTCGCTCTGCGTGTGTGCATGAGACCATCCAGCCTGCTTCTGCGATGCACATCTCACTGCGACACTCCCTCTCCCCCCCCCTCATCCCCACACCATGGCGACCTACAGGCGTGTACGACGCGAGCATTGAGCACCTGCTTGTGCTGGCAACGCCGCTGATGGTGTATCTGATTGGCGTGGACATGCGCATGGACGAGAGCGACGTTGGGGAGGTGCACCTCAACCCGGCCGTGCTGCACACAACAGCGACAGACAACGTCTGCTTCACGTGCATTGTCGGCACGCCCGACGGTCGCATCTTCATGGGCGGCGACGACGCGGCCATCTACGAAATCCAATACGAGGTGCAGCGTGGAGTAACATGGTGTGGTGTGGCGTGGTGTGGTGTGGCGTGCATGATGGGAGGGATGTTGATGGCACATGATGGGGAGGGATGTTGATGAGGGGATCAAGGTGGGAGTTTGTTGTACTGTTGGGTGAAATCGCACCCCCTTGCATGCCTCAACCTTTATCCACCACATTTGCATTCATACACGCACATACACGCCCGTGCGACCATGCTAGCGGGATGACGGGTGGCTGCGGCGCAAGTGTCGGAAGGTGAACCACACCCGCAACCTGCTGTCGTTCCTGATGCCGACGATTGTGACGCAGACGTGGGGGGTGCGCGCCGAACCCATCAGGCAGCTGGTTCTCGATCCCACGGGGACAACCCTCTTTGCCCGCTCAGACAACACCATCACGGTATCGCGCCCTGTGTGTGTGTGTGTGTGTGTGTGTGTGTGTGTGTGTGTGTGTGTGTGTGTGTGTGTGTGTGTGTGTGTGTGTGGAGAAGGGGGTCTGCCATAGCTTCACTCGCTTTGCTTCAACCTATTCCCCTCCTGCTCCTCCTCCTCGTCATCATCATCATCATCATCATCATCATCATCATCTGCCATTACCACATCCCGAAAGGCGTACCGGGTGCACGGCGGGTCGCTGTCGCGCGCGTGTGCAATGTATGACGAGCGCGGGCGGGCAGACCCGTACCGCCCAGGCCTCCACGGCGCCATCATCACCATTGCCCCAATTGCAGACAACCAGATTGTCGCCGTCACAGACAAGGGTGTGTACATGCACATGTGTGAATGTGTATGGGGGTTGTGTGCGCGCATGTGCAGATGTGTGGGTGTGTGTGCATGTGTGTGCATGTGTGTTTGTGTGTGTGTTTGTGTGTGTGCATGTGTGTGCATGTGGGTGGGTGCATATGCATGTGGGTGCGTGAGTCTGGGTGGACATGTACTGATTGGCTTGCGGATGTGCCCAGCTTGTTTCGCCAGAGATCCCGTTTCACAGCTGTGCCCTACTCATCGTGTCTGCTGTCTCATGCCACTGATGTGTGTGTGTGTGTGTGTGTG